GTGTTAAATCAGTGAATGAGAGAACAAACAGCAATATATATACTGTATATACATAAACATGTATACATACAGGACAAATTATGGTATTATTGCTGTATAAATAAAGACAATTTAAGATAATATAAAAAGTATTTCATCATAAAAGCTCTTATTTTTTAATGTATATAGTGTTAAATCAGTGAATGAGAGAACAAACAGCAAAATGTAAACAAAAATTTCGTCTTCATATGTATGTGCGAGGGTACATAGAAAGATACAGCAGACTTGTCAAAAAATGTTTATTTATTTACAAAAATAAAAAAATGCAGTTTGGGCCAATAAAAGAGGAAATATAACAAAATCACCAACTAAGGTACCAATTTATAAACTGAAACATTAACCAATTAACTGATAAAACTTATCAAGGTAATAATGTATTTCATTGTAATCTAAGAAAATAAATATTTACAACCTCAAAATACTAAACAATTGGAAAACATCAAAAATTGAATTGTCCCTCTGCTGACATGCAACATGGCATCACAGCTGTGACTTCTTGTTGCAGAAGGGCTGTTTACACTGAGGGGCAGGACAACTTTAGCTGCCTCTCCAAAGGAACTGACAACTCATGGAAACAAAAAGTTTAAATATTGCAAATGATAAAATAAACTATTACAAAATGTTAACTATATGTGTGCATGCTAAATAATTACCCTAATATGAAAKGATGCAAAATTGTTTGATTAAACTACATAAGTACTTAAATGCTAAATTATTTAACTTAGATTAATGAAATATGTATATTTACAAAAACCAAACCCATTAGGTACCAAACAGATACTAAAATAGTGAAACAACCTTTAGTTACTGTGTGGCTGCAGGTGCTGCAGTAAACTAAAGCATTAATTACATTTTAACATCACCTCCAATCCTGACAATATGAGCCGTCCTGTCAGTTTTTTGTCTTGAAGTGCTCTCTTCAGAGTTTGAATGAGCAACAAAACCCTCTATTCTGATTAGAACTTCTCAAGTCAGTGTCACTAGGAGGCCTATGTTATGAAAAAAACCCAGGAAGAGATAAAGAGAACCTTTCCTGCTGTAATCATTTTGTTGATTGCCAAATAACATTAGCTACAATGAAAAATATTATAAATGTTAAATAACCAAAACTATTATTCAGTCTTACTTATAAAAAGGTGTGATCTGCTTTCAAAATTTAGTAGATTAATGCACCAAATAAGGGCATAGTCTCTTGCTCCAGTGCTGCCTAGAGTGAAGAGACCCCCATCCAATATGGCGGCGCCACGCGATGCGATTCTGCCCTCCATCAGGTTTCTAGTTATTTATATAATATCTATGGTAGGCTGATGACATACTGTATGTACACACCAGAAGCATCTTACAAAAATACAACAGTAGGTGGCATTGTTGGAACATGTTTCGAGTAAGAGCGTCAATTACAGTAATGTTTAACAAAACTAAACCAGAGCCCAGCTCCTCACCTGCAGCAGGTGAGGAGTCCACCCATTTCTTCACAGGGCAGAAGTTAGTTCTGCTGTTTTTACAGCAGCCATGGAGAACAGAGGGGCCTGAATTAATTCTATTTTTATTTTTGATGGCAACGTTCTAGCAATATTGCCAAAGAAAGTTGTAGTTCATGTAAATAATTTCACCATGGACTACTGTGGAAACTACTGAGCAGGATTAACCCAAGGACTTTCAGCTGAAATGAAACTATTGTTCCTATTGTTTCTCACAAATCTGCAGATGATGGTGGTAAGTGATGTTTTGTG